ATCTATCTATCTATCTATCTATCTATCTATCTATCTATCTATCTATCTATCTAATGTAAATGTTAACAGTTTTCAGAGTGTTCTGATTGAACATGGCAGACACAAAGACTTTTATAATTGAACGCCTCAGATGTATAGATTGGGAACGCCATTAGATGGTAATTCAAGATCATTGCCATGACGTCGGGAAATAAATACATCACATTATCTGGACCCCTGGAGTTGTGAGTTTTCGTTAAAGTTTACGTTGTGCCTTGTCTATACCAACGCCTAGACACTCAAAATATCATCACAGAGAGGAGCGGTCCTGTACTGACCACTAATAAATTAATGGTTTGTGATAAGTCAGGACCGGAGCCCTCCTCAGCAACAATCGTTCTGACAAGCGATATGGGATCGCTTAGTATAAGAACAACCACCCCATCCTTCTCCATGAAGGCTTTGAAGGATAAAACGTGTTCAACAGTGGGCAGGAGCGGTATGAATTATTGATGCGAAGGAAGATGCTACTGTTGGGAGAATGAATTTTTATTTTTCATTGTAAAAAAAGACATTGTTAACTAACCCTATTTTGAAAGTGACCAAGCTGACAGGCTCGGAATTTCCCTCACTCGTAAACACTAACGGCGATTTTAATAGTGATTGCTACGATCTACACAATTATGGTTGTGCATTACCCACTAACATACTCAAAACCGCACTCCGGCAATGTTTGTGTCATAAAATGCTATAAAATAAAAATTGTTAGTCCAATTTAAAATGGTTTTACCATTATAATCAACGTCCAAATCTATCCAAACATAATAAAATTATAATTAGACTTTTCGGTAAGATTCAACTGAAACCGTCGTGGAGGGTCACATTATAGATATGAGAATGGGGAGAACTCGCAGGCCACATTAACAGTAAAATTTGCTGTCATGTAGCGGGCCGAAAAATATCGTCTTGCGGGCCGCAAATGGCCCACGGGCCGCGATTTTGAGACCCCTGATGTAGTGGCTCTGAGAACGCCCTCGATCCCCCGGTTTTTTTTTAAAAACTGGCACTGCAGCCGTCTGTGTCACTCACGTTACCTTCCTCATCCTGAAAGTTATCATTCTGAGTTGAATTCGGAGCCAGGGGAAGGGAAGCAGCAGGGGGGAGCTTATGGGGTGGCAGACAGGAAATTGGGGGGCTTGGCCGTGGGAATGGGAAAGTATAAATAGCGATCGGTAAGTCTGGCTAAACCAGATTAACCAAATAATCAATATGGTTTGTGGTTACACGCGAGCAAAGAGGAAACATTGATGAAGGCAGAATGGAGATGCCGCAGTGGTGAGTGGTGTTTTCTCCTCAGCTCGAGGGAGCTCCACCCCCGGACCTCCCCCTTCCGGGGCCCCCAACCTACGCTCCATGCTTAGGGCCCCCAAACTCCTAAGAACGGCTCTGTCATTACATTCAACACGTTTGTGGTAGGTACAAACAATGACAGCGTGTTCATTAAACAAAACAGTTTCAAACAAATAAAAATAAAAGAGAGGGGGGCTGTACAAAACACAATGACAGTGTGTAAATAAACACAAAATGCGATGCCCAATAACAAATAAGGGGACACCCCTGGGGGGGGGGGTCGAACGGCCCTTACTAAACCTGTGGCTCGTGACCCCTTTAAAACGAAAATAATTGTATGTTTTGGGGTCACCACAACATGAGAAACTGTATTAAAAGGTCGCGGCATTAAGATGGCGGAGAATCACTTTGGGGAAAAAAAAAAGAAGAAAAAAAAAA